TTTGGAGAGGTTTTTGCTATAGGGTGTGTGCGCTTGCCAGAAAGACAGAGAGACAGAAAGCGAGAAATCACCCCCCAGAGGGGATGGCCACGCCGCAATCCCTTCTCCTCCATTCTCCTCTCGGGATCTTGGACACTCACACACATGCGCTTGGCATGAGTTTAAGCTGCTGGGTCCGGGACTCAAACCATGGTCGACTACATGAGAGTCCAGCGATATAGCCATTACACCAACTTGCAGGCCCCAGATGAAAAAAGGTCTGTGGATAGATGGTGTGATGTTTTCACAGTAATGTGAATGTATTTAATACCACCACGCTGGCCAGCAGATGGCATAGTGGTTACATCACCGGACTCCCACATGGCTGACCATGGTTTCAGTTCCTCATCCAGTGCCTTAAAATTCATACTCTTGTGTGCATGTGTGCCCAAGATCCCTGGAGGAGAATGGAGGAGAAGGGACTATGACCCCATATCCCTTGGGGGGAGTGATTTCTCACTTTCCCGCTCACTGTTTCTGTCTCTCTGATGAGCACGTGTATCCTAATGCAAAAACCTCTTTTTTCTTGGGCGGGGGAGAGGTTTTTGCTATAGGGCACGTGCGCTCGCCAGACAGAGAGACAAGAGAGATAGAAAGCGAGAAATCACCCCCCAGAGGGGATGGCCACGCCGCAGCAAAAACCTCTTTTTTAAAAAAAAGATTAAACAGAGATTTTATATTATGTGTTAATATATTTTGCCATAAGTTTTATAAAAAAGTTAAAGGCAGGGCCAGCCCATGGCCTTGTGGTTAGGGTGGCAGGATACCTCATGGCTTATTTGTTGGTTCAAGTCCTAGACCTAGCAGCTGGGAAAAACACACTGGGCCCATGAGAATGTGTGCCCAAAATGCTGAAAGGAGAGAGAGATGGAGAAAAGGGATTGTGGTGCGACCTTCCCCCATGGAGGGTGCTTTCTCACTTCCCTCTCTCGGTCTCTCCCGGTCAGTGCACTTGCCTGTCAAGGATACAGTGGAGAGGAGAGAAACATTAATCGGGGCTCTGCCAAAGTGGTAAGAAAGGACTTCTGTGAGTTATCTTTAAGCAACTTGGATTAGCTTGTTGCAAAGAATCATTTTACGAAGCTCTTGATTGATCTGTTTTTGTTCATCAGCATTTCCTCTGTCAGCTTTTCTTGGGCACCTCTCCATTGTTATTCTCATCACTTTCCCTTCCCACAGCCTCTAAACGTTGATGGTCCCTGAAGAGCTGCTCTCTAAGGCTGTCCCTTTGTCTTGTACCCGCCTAGCAGGGTCAGCGCCTGTCTCCACATCTCATTTTGGTGTAAGCGTTCTATAAATTAACATCTCACGCCTGACCCCTCTGCCAAGCCGCATCTGGAACTGCAGCTGTTCGCTGGCCATCCTCCCAGCAGCTCAAACTCAATCTGGCCCCAGACCCCTTTCCTTGTTCTGCTGAGTTTCTAGTTTCTGTGGAAGGCACAGAACGCTTGGTTCCCAAGTGCGAAACATAGAATGCTCTGCCCCCACCCCCCCCCCCCCCGCCTCCTCGGCCGGGCTTCCAGGTCAGCTCAGCTGTCCACCCTGTGGCTTCCCCTCTGTAACCGCTGCGTCCTGTCCAGGGATGCTCCCTGAGCTCAGCCTTTGTCCCCTCTGGAATAGATGGCTGCATCTGCCCGCCGGGCTCTTCTCCTCCGGCCCTGCTGTGAGTTAGCCAGAGGAAGCCAGCAAGAGGCCAGTCCTGGTCCCTCCACTAGGGAACCAGACATCTGGGTTTGGCTTACCCCGAAGGGAAGCAGGACCCAACACAAATCACAAAGTCCGAGTGCCTTCTGAAAAATAGCCCAGGGAAGGGAGGACGGTTAAGTGGGGGAAGGTGTGGCAGCTAGACTGATCTGTTTTGTTTCTTTATTTGAGAAGTTTTTGCTATAGGGTGCCTGTGCTTGACAGAAAGACAGAGACAGACAGAAAGCGAAAAATCACACCCCGGGGGGTGGGGGGGATGGCCATGACACAGTCCCTTCTCTTCTCTCCTCTTGGGATCTTGGGCATGCACACACCCACACCTGGCGTGAGTTTAAGCCGTCGGGTCTGGGACTTGAACCACGGTTGACTACATGAGAGTCCAGCGATATATGCATTACACCAACTGCTAGTCTCAGAGCTAGACTGATTCTGAAAATCAGGCAAACCTGGAAGTTCCTCGGTCCCTTCCAGAGCAGGTGCCAGCCAGCAGTGGGAGAAGGGCAGCAGATCCAGCTCCAAATCTAGGCAGGGGCCAGGTCCGGGGTATGTGGGCTTCAAGGTGGAGCACAGGGGGATCTTCGGCTGAAGTCCCAATTCTGCTTGAGCTGACCAGTGAGAGCAGGGTGGCAGGTGAGCTCAGGGGGTTCACTATCTCCCTGAGACTCAGGGTGCTTGGCAGCCCTAGGAATTCCTGTGCTCTGAGCTTCACTCAGACTCCTTGACCTGAAACATCGCCCCCTCCTCTCAATTTCCACAGCTCATTACTCTTCCTTCAAGCCTATATCAGACCCACTTCTTTCCCGAAGCCATCACTCATTCTGCGGAGCTGTGATATCTGAATTTCTATAGCCCCTTGGCCCATTTAAAATTTGTTCACTTATCTCTTTTGAGAGAGAGAGGTAGAGGGGTGGGGGAGTAGCCCCAAGAGGGGCCACCTCATGCTGTAGTTCACCCTGACCCAGTGTGCCTGGATCACAGGCACGAGCATGCCCAGCCTGCTCCGTCAGCCCCTCTGATGTGAACCTGGGACCTTTCCCATGTGGGGCCAGTGGTGGTACTGCTGTGGCACCGCCCGGTCCCTCCAACAATGAACTGAATACATAGTTTCCTTTATAAATTGCCTTGAGTCAGTCATTCAGTAGGCACTCCCTCCCGTTATGGACGGTGTGGCCTTCCAAAGTGCTACTAAAATGCTGTGATGAATTTCTGGTTCTTCTTCCTCTGGGCACTTGAACCCCTTTTGTTTCCCAGGGCGATGAATAGTTTGCAATGGGCTATGCAGGAAAGTGACGTGTTAGTCTCGGGCCAGAGCGTTTAGGCCTATATGACACTGTGTGCTCTTTTTCCCTGGGCATGGCAGCCAGCAGGGTTCGAGAGGTTGGTTGCTCTGCCATGCTGAGGCTCCCGAGAATAAATGCAACGAGAGGAGCCCCCTTTGCAGACCTGTGACGGGCACCCAGCACGAATGAGAAAAATGTCTGTTTTCAGCCACTGAAATCTGAAGGTTGCTATTGCAGCATCCCAGCCCAGCCCCACGGACACACTGACCCTGCTGGCTTATCAGCACTAGATGTGCCCTGCACATCCGCATTCTGTGGCTGCACAGGGACAGAGGCAGGAGCAGAGGGCTTCTCTCAGCAGTTCTGTTCCCTCTGCAGCCTCTCACTGTGGAGCGGCAGTAATTTAGATGCAGATGTGCAGGAACGGTGAAACCTTCTCCTCTACGGGCTGCTCACTAAATTAATTAAAAGATGGTCGTGAGCAGAGGGGATATTCTATCAAGGCAGAAGGTTCTGTTTTTACTTTTCCAGTCTGCAATAATACTTTGCCATGGCTTTGCCAGGTTGCTTTATAAGAGTTAGCAGGGGTCCTTTCCTGGTAGGTGAAAGTATCGTACTTTCCGGATATGAGGGCACGACCCACTTCCCCAGAGAAGGTTCAGCATCTGGAGGGGCTCCTTGTGGAGCTGAACAGCTGAGGGAACAGCCGTGCCCTACACACCAAATGGCCCACCTGCCAGCGCCTGAGAGAGCACAGGTGGAGTCCAGCTTGATAATAAGCAGGTATTCCTTGAGCAGAACTGAAACCAAATGAGCCCGTCTGCCCTACTTCTGATGGAAGGCAAGTGGTTATCTCTGTGAAACAAAGATGAAAAATAAAAGCTCTGCAGTGTTCAGTGTGTGTATGCCGACTGCTACACCTTAGGAACATAAAATGACAAGAGAAATGGGCTAGAGACAGAGATTTAATTGAATAAAAACTCCAGGCTGTGACAGGGGCGGGAAGACACAGAGCAGTAATTAACAACATAATTTTTAAAATGACGATGCAATTAATTAACATCCTGGGTAAGCGCAGAGGGGAAGGGGACATCTTTTTAGCTCAGAAACACTGCTAAATAAAGGAGAAGGGAACTTCATTTTTTTTTTTTTTAAAGTCTATGTGCAAATGGCTCTGGTTATTGCAACTTCAGCAAAGCTCTCAACAACCACCCAAGAGGCTTCATGTGCCAAAGGAAGCCAACAAATGAATCAACGTGGTATTTCACTTTATTCCAAAACTTGTATTTCATTTTATTCTCATCTGTGAAGGAGAGATTCTGGGTTAGATAATGAAGTTGGGGGATATTCAGATGTCACTCATGCTTCAGGCTGAGGACTCGTCTCCTCTGAGGATCCTGTGGGTGAGGCCCTGGGAGCTCAGAGCCTTCTTGCAGTGGGGCCCCAAACCTGCAGGGATTTATGGAAACTGCTGGAGCAGGAGTGGGAGCCATGGTTAGGGGGTCATGGGGGCTGGTCATCATCTGTTCAGAAAATGATTTTTTGAAACCACTGAGGTGTTCACTTGTGTGAGCTAGCTGCTTGATATAAGAGGAATCTCTCAGACCGGCAGTAATATTTTACCGTTCACACTGGTCACTCTCCCTTCTCCAATAGGCTAGGATAGGTTATCTCTACTTGCCTAGGGACTCACCAACGGCCGCTGGACATGCATTTGGTGCTCACTTCTGCAAAGACCTGCTCACGCTCATTTCTGGGCTCCTTGCGACCCAGGAGACTCAGCTGTTCCCTTCACAGGTGTGAGACCCACTGCGTCTCTCTGTGATGGAGAGAGCCATCCCGATGAGGTCAGGCTCCAGTCAAGAAACATAGCGAGGTCTGTCCTGCTGCGAGTCTGGTCAGGACCTTGAGGTCCCGATGAGGTCAGGCTCCAGCCAAGAAACATAGTGAGGTCTGTGTCCTGCTGCGAGTCTGGTCAGGACCTTGAGTTTTTCTCAGTCTCAAGAGAACATCTAAATGCAGGACTGTAGGTGTAGGAAGACCTATCAATCACAAGACATCTGGGGAGAAAAGGTACCTTTACACATTAGTCCCAAGCCTAAGGCTTAGTACAGAGTCAAGCCTGCGGTTTATCTATGTTTACTTTTCTAAGTGGAAAATTTCTTTTGGCACAATCTCCTGTAAGCTCATGCGCAGTGATCATTCTGAGGGCCTGAAGACATCGCCCAAAGTTTTATCAGTGGAGAAACCTGATCATGTGACTTAAAATGGGGCTCCTTTATTGAGATACTGCTCCTATCGCACGTGACGCATGAAGAAGACACCAAGCGTGTGACAGTGTGTATGTTCTTGGCCTTCCAATGCAGAGAGGAGGAGTTCTTCGGCAGACTTGCCTCTTGCCAGTGGTACACACAGCTCTGGACATTGGCCTGCGGAGTCACAAGTGGAAGCGGAAACTCACCTGCACGCACTTACCAGGGCTGTACAGACTAAGACCCAGCAAAGCAACCTACCTACAGGGGGTGACGGGAGGGCCGCTATTACCTCCACAGAAGTGTGCCGTGATCATAAGGAACAGTTCAAGCACTTTTTTTTTTTTCTTCCTAAGTTGAATTTGGTCTAAGGGAGAGATCTAAAGGAAAACAAAACAAAAACCCCTCACTACCACGGAGACAAACGACACGAGAGTACCTAGTCATTGACAGGACTAAAGTTTAAGACGACAATTGTCCCAGCGTCTAGGGCTGAAATGGGCCTAAGCTGACTTGGTTTCAATCAAGAAGTTACTCTGTATGGAAAGATGGACTCGGGCTGTGATTTGAACTTCAGAACTCCCCATTCAGAGAAGAACATTTCATCTAGGTTTTTCTTTGACCTGGTTAGGCATTTTAAACAGCTGCTTGTTACTTCCCGGAATTACAAAGCTACGTAGAATGCACAAATCATCCTGGAACACATGTGCCTCTCTTTCTTGACAATGGAGGTTATTTTCGAGAACAAAGATCCTGTTTTCAAACAAACATGATCATTAACTGTGGCGCGTCAGAAAACATTTGGCATGTTCGGTTTCAGCAGAATCACTCCTAGAGAAAGTGACTAAGTTCCCATGAGGAATCAAGACACTTTCAATTCATGAGGAAAGTCAACACGAAAGGGAACCAGGAGCCCTGCACACCAGCTGAAGGTTCACAAACACCTTGGCTGTCTTGTGGTTTCAACACGGGACCAGGAGTCCACATCGTGGTTTATGTCACACCAGCAAAGAGCTTCACAGAGTAACAGTGAGCCTTAGAAAGGCTCTTGATGGACCTGCTCCATTCATGCAGGCACTCAAACTGCAGTCATTGCTCTCCTGCATTTCCTCCTTCTCCGGGAGAGCTTGGTAAAGACACAGCATTTCAGAAATGCAATCTGCCTCTTCTGAAGAAACTGCTATTTTATATTTTATAGAACCAACTTCTGGGCTCTCCACCCTTTGCTTTTTTTTTTTTTCCCCTACTCTTTTTTTTTTTTTTTTTTTCTTCTTGACAGCAGACCCATAAAAAGTGAAAACCACAAAAACATCACCTTAGGAGACGGAAAAGACTAAGACAGATCTGACCACGCAACAAGTGTCTCGGCCTTGACCTACACAGGAGCAGTTAGGACTCTGGCGTGACAGACGGCTGCGGGGGCCGCTGTGACTGCACAACACTGCGTGTAGACGGTGGAACGAGTGCGAAAGGAGCATTGCTGAGTCCCGTGGGTGTGGCTCGGCCGTGCGGCTCATGGCGTCGGAGGTGGTTTCGGAGACGGGCACGAGCTCTCGCTGTCAAAGCTGGCAGCTCGGCCTTGCCACTGAGGAAAGGAAGAGAAGCTGATTATTGATCGCCAAAGGAATGCACATGACAGTTTCCCAAACTCAACTGGCCCATGCACTGAATTCACCTTTCCCAGCTTCTCAGAAGCTTTTTGAACTTAGCTGTCAGCCATGCAAAACTGTGAGGAAAACAGCTTTGAGCTAGTATGGAATACCTGATTTTCAAAAAAGACCTACTGCAGAGATAATTGAAGCTTTCTTCACTGTGCAGCGACGGTAGATGTGTATGTGCGTGTGCGTGTGTGTGCGTGCGCGTGTGCGCAGGCGCGTTTTAATGAGGCACTATGACTGGACCATTTCTGAGTGCTTCAGCCATTTTTCACACTGAAAATCAGATTATGTTAGCAGCAAAAGAGGCAGTCTGCAGAGTGTGCCCTTCCTGCCAAGAACCCACGATCATGAATTATTAGCAATTTGTCTAGGAGCATTAGCACAGCTAAAAATCTGATATTGCTTTAGCTTTGGGCTCTCTTCTTCATCGTGATGATTCCTGTGGGCATTGACACCTGATATGCAAAGGGATAGGAGGTGTGAGGAGACCCTTTGGGGCTTCTCCAGCCCAGCTCTCAGCCCAGCCTAAACCCCTCTGTGAAAACAGTGAGGTAATGAGGTGAAATGGAGTGAAGAAGAGGGGTAACAATGGATAGACCCATGCCTTGAGCCATCCAACCCTTTTTAAATGGAAAAGCCAGTCATAGCTGCAGCAGTGCTTACTGGGCAAAGGTCTGACCCTATGAATAGCCTTGGCCCGGGGCTGTAACTTCAAGGTGAGCCAGTGTCCGTTGCCTGCACCACCCTCTGTGGGCCCAGGAGATGTAGTGCTCTCCGGTGTGCCTGCAGGACAGGACTCAAGAGGTAGGTGATCAAGAAGGCCTTCCTGAACCTGAAGGGCAGCCCCTTCTGCTTCTCATGAGCTTTAGGGGTCTCCGTTATGGGGCGATGAGGCTGAGGAGAGGCTATCACCATGCATTTGTGCATGTATGGGGCAGGACCCCCCACACACAGCCATTTCTAGACCGACCTGAACCACCTAAGGAAGCGACCATTCACCATCCAGCATTACCCAGAGTAGGTGGGAAGCTCACAAAGCTGGGGAGAGACTGA